TTCTGGAACAGAACCAAGATTCAAAACTGGAAGCACAGCTTGAGTGTTTGGCTGGAGCTTACATTCGACGAATTCTATGAAGAAGAAAAGTGTATCACTCTCTGATCTATTCAGCCTAAAATAAGTAATAAATACTCAAAAAATGACCACACCAGAAACTGAGTGCCGTTAGTCTATTCTCTATAGTAGCCTTTGCCATATGCGCCAAAGACTTTAAAAAATCCCATTCTTTCTGAAACAAATAAAACACACCTTAGTCTAGTGAGGGAAAAAATGCATTTTGTTTTTAATTCCAAGAGCAAATATTTATGGATATTACCGGGGAAAAATGGATAATTTTGAGTAACAAAAACACCTTATGACATTATTCAGCTTTCGAAAATAACATTACCGTCCACATAAAACAAAATAGAAGCGCTATTAAATCAGTAATAGATCTATAGACATTATCCTACTCACAAAATCATGGCGACTGGGCCGCCAATTGGCTCTTTGTGAATAAAAAAGATTACTATACTTATAACTTTAAGAAAAAAAACACATAGTTTTATTTTTATCTTAAATCGATTTTTGCGTATTAATATATACATTGAGCAGGTGCGCATATTTTCCAGTATGGCTATTGTGTTCAAATATTATTTAAAAACAGTTTATGATTTTTTTAAATGCATTTAAATCACCCCCCCCCCTCCCCCCTCTTCACCGTACAACTGCTTACGTATTAAAATATAAATTGTTGCGTTAAGTGCAGAATTTTCACAAGTAATAACCAAGGGAGTCACTTAAATAATATAAATCTTTAGGGATGACGTAAAACCAAAACTTTGAATATCACTGCCCAATGAAAATACAACAATTCTTGAATCATGAAAGAAAATAAAGAATTGTATGCCTGCATCTCAAAGAAAAATGTGTCAGAGAACAGCAGCAGTCACAATATTGTGAAACCCATTGAAGACTTTTCAAAGATATGCCTTGCCGTATATATCTCAAATACGATCTATCCGGTGCAGTCACTTTGATATCATTGATGGAATCCAGTCGAGCTTCTTTGACTTCTTTCATCAACGTTCGCCTTATATTCTCTCATGGACGTCCTCGTTTCCTCAGTCCCCCTCTTCCCCATTTGAGGGAGCAAAACACATAATTAGATCCAAGCCTGCACAATGAGACAGACACGACCAAGTTTGCCAGATAGACATGGAAGACATGAAACACTAGCACCAACCAAACATTACGCAATAAAATACAGCACAGTTTGTTGTCATAATTATAACCTATATTAACTAGGACGAGGCTAGTTAGACAGTCAGAAGCTGAACATAGCTAATTCAAATCGGACCAACGAAAAGTGCAAGTTCGGTGTTTGTCTCTCCTCAGAATGTGTCTAATATGGTGACATCTTCTTTGTTTTATAACTGTTACCCAGATATTTCTCTTATTTCCTCACTCCTTTTGAATTCATCCCCTTTTATGTTCATGTTATCTTCAGGCATTTGTTTTCGAATGCATTTAAATCTAGTTCTATGTCATTAGTAGTTCCACAACTTTGACTGACATATGTTAACATATGTTAAAACTTAAATAGTATTAGAAATGAAAATACATAACCTTATTTCTATAATTCTATAATTTAGAAATCCATATTTTATTTAAGCCTTTAAAAGTTCCCGAGACCTTTGCCTGTGCATGTTATAATTTCTTTTGATGCTGTTGTGTTTTATACAAGTCGTCCTCATGTGGGATGCAATTTTTTTGTTATTGGAAGCCCCACGATTCCGTCTCCCGGGGGGCCTGAATATAGACACGCCATAAATATGACCTAGCCATAAAATATGCCTATAACAGCTGAAAGAAGTTTCACTTTAGTTTCACCTGCAACACAGTCACTTAAACCACCACACTTTGCATTAAACTCTCTGAGCCTTCATACATTGCTTTAATAATGTTTTGTTATTATTACTGGGGAAAAAATGGGGGGGGGGGGAAGAGGGGTAGGAAGGGGAAATACTGAAAGGTTCCAAAAATCCCCACATTGATGTAACATATAAAAAGCTTTTCGAAACTGGATACAGTTCAAAATAACGGTATGATGTGTTTTAAAAATCGCTCTATAAAAATGTTCAAAGTAATCATTTAATCTAAACAACTTCTTCTTATGAAGAAAGTTCAAACATAAACGCTTCTATATGCCACATACATTGAATCGCAGAAAGGGCCGGGGAAAAAAGGGGGCAGGGGGCGAATATAAACAAATAAAGAAATCGCTATCAAAGAAGAATTAACATTGACTGAGCTTACATATCCCAACTAACTATAATAGGGGGAGGGGGGAAGCAAAAAAAAAAAAAAGGAAGTTACCATCAAAGGAAAACTCCCAGGGTGTGAAGGCCCCGTTGTGCTGTAAACTAGAATAGATACGCTCAATCCCCAACAAACATGTTGTAGGAGTCGACTTATTGAAAGCTTTATTCCAAGTCGGAGTTCATCAGCCAACACGGTAAGGAAAAAAAAACTACTGCACAGAAATAAACAAGTAAAACGGAGGTACACACAAAACTCAAACCTTGGCACAAAGCCAAAGTACAAATAGACAAACAACCAGGACTTCCCACCGGAGCTTTCAACCCATGAACAAAGAAGAAGAAGAAGACAAAGCGAAACGAAACGTAAATGGCAACTTCTATACCGAAGATGCCAGTGAAAAAAAAAAAAACATGAAGTAAAATATAATGGCAGTGCACAGAAGCACAGGTAAGCGAAGATAAAGAAGAATATGAATTGTCTTATTACCCATTCAAAGAGATAATGAAAACAAGAAAAAGGGGGACAACACAACTGAAGTCAATTTGTGATACAATAAGCGCGTTATCATGTTATATTTTAAGTGGTCAAATCAAAGGGCGAAGTATCTATATCAGAGAGAGAGAGAGAGAGAGAGAGAGAGAGAGAGAGAGAAAGAGAGAGAGAGAGAGAGAGAGAGAGAGAGACCCATAAAGAGCGAGAGAAAAAAATAGACACACACCGAAACAGGAAGAGAGTGAGAGGGGAGAGAGAGAGAGAGAGAGAGAGAGAGAGAGACCCATAAAGAGCGAGAGAAAAAAATAGACACACACCGAAACAGGGAGAGAGTGAGAGGGAGAGAGAGAGAGAGAGAGAGAGAGAGAGAGAGAGAGAGAGAGAGAGAGAGAGAGAGAGAGAGAGAAACACACAAAATATATATTACCCTTTAGTGTGATAATGTCCAAAGTGTGAGTTGATATTTAAATCAATTAAGGTCTCGTCTTGGGATCAGTCCGTCAAGTCTAAAACTTAAAACTAGAGGACCATGGAGGTTATTGCTATCGAACTTAAATAATCTTGGAAGATTGGTGAACCGGCAATATAAGAACGTTTTGACAAATGTCTTTAGCAAGGAAATTAAGGAAGAAACTGAAGCGTAAGGAATAGGACATTTTATTTATCGAATCATGTGCTTGTTGTTTACATATATTCTTTCATAGAGCTGCCTACGGCTTTTAGAGTTCAATCATTTGCATGTACATATATATTTGACAAATCATTTACTTTTCTCCACATTCGACAAATCTGCACTGTAAAAAGAATATCCTGTCACTAAGTGGTTTTGTAAAGATGACATATACGTTATGTTTTTCTAACCGATTTCTATCCTTTCTATTTACTATCTTTGGTAAATGTTTTTTCAAGTTCGGTTTTACGTAGCCTATCTTCACACAACATTGTTCAAAATAAGTCAATTGTATTCTTCCGCCGCACTGGCCACCGCTTACATTAAGCTAGTGTTTGGTGTGACCAATAGATCCCCAGTTACAGGCAAACCAGTCCTTAAATGCTAAACTAGGTATCTCGTAAAGACGATTTTGACACCAGAGGCGCATATGGAACATTCTGCTAGGTCAGTGGATGTGAAAATAAGATGGGAGGCGGGGGGGGGGGGGAGGAGGAGCCCAATGAATTTCCCAGGAATCGTCAAAGGCATTTATGATATTATACTTCAGCTTCAGGTTGATTATAAATAAAAATATCGACAGTCGCACAAATAAAACAGAAATGCTAGGCTTGATGTTTGTGCCTTGCCCAGTATCAGACCTGCAGATTGCGTCAAGACCAAACAGCCGAAACCACCACAATGAACTTAGGACACTAAACTGCCAGTTGTTGGCGGTTGCTCCTTCTGAGTTATTTGGCAGTTTTTTTGTGGATGCTTCCCCCCCCCCCCACCCCCCCCCCTCCAAGTTCTTGTTGATAGTGCGTAGGATTTTTCATATCGTTCTCCACATTTTCAGTCCCATTTTTAATGGGTGAATGGTCCGGGAGGGGAGGGGGTGTTAGGGGGGGGGGGGGGGAGTGGTTGCCTTGCCGTATTTTCAAGCGGGACAAATTTGAAAAGCACTGTGAAAAACCAATTTTTTTTATAGACCAACTGTGCGTGATAAGTATGGGAGTCAACATAAAGCAGGCTAATTTTACTTCCTTTGACACTACATGGTACATATTTTAGGCCATGGCGACGTGGGACACAAGATGGATTATAAAATCCACCCTGTATAGGTTTTTTTTTTTTTAAACGGAGTATCTGCACTATAATCCTGTCGGTCTCATATCAGTTATGTTGTAGAGACAAACCGTTATGAAACATTCGAGACGTAGGGTCAACGTGGTTAATATAGAAGATGGAACGTATACTCAGATGTTTACCCACACATATAAATCGAGTTTTAGAAGACTTTCAAAGCAATGAGCTAAATAATATTAAACTGCAAATCTATGTACATTTGTCAACATATCATAAACAAAAACTGGTTGAATGCTTACACAATTTAGTGTAATGTCATAAGGCATATCTATATGATTATATATATATATAAACGTGTGAAACAAAAATAGCATTTAAAACCACTACATGTAAAATGTCTCTTTTTTTTTCTTGCGATTTCAGGTTCTTCCAGTAATGAATTAGCAGTGAGATAACTCCAATGTCAAACGACGCCATTGCTGCCTCGTTTCTCGTCCTGCTCTTTCGCTAAGGCCTCTTGGATACCTCCAACTAGAGACTGCAGAATGAAGGTGATGGCAATTGTGTAGATGTTCTGCATATTCTCCGTGTAACGGTCTCCCAGTGTGACTTTAACAGCCTCCAGGAAGGGCTCCTTAATAGCCTGTGGATATAAAAAAAGACAAATTTACAAAATGGTCGTATAAAAAGATTTTGCGACAGTTCAAAACAATATACAGAAGCAGAGAAACATATTGAAATTTAATTAAACCACAACTCTTTTTATTCTTATATTTTTCTTCTTCTAGTATACCTATTTACACGCCGTAGCTTTTCGTGTACGCTGGGGGTCATATTTAAGGGTTAAACAAAACAAAAACAAAAAAACCACTGGCTCTCAAAAATCATGTCGTAAAATGTAACAAATTATTCAACTAATTAACTTATTATAAAAATTAAAATAATTATTCGGAGTGCATCTGTTTGGGTAGGTAGATAGTTGTACTCCACCAAGACATCACACAAAGTGCCACCATGCGGATGAAGATCACCAGTGGAGAGGTCCCAGGAACCCCTTTCAGCCGTTAGGCCATATCTATGGCTAGGCCATATTAATGGCCCGGCTATATTCAGGGTCCCCGGCAAAAGCCAGGGTGAGGCTTCAAAATAACAAAAACTTGCGAGGGGACGACTTTAAGCATCTGTTTGGAAGGCTGACCAAAAAATAAGCCAGATTTGTAAAATGAATGTGCACACACAAATAAAGTTCTGGAGCAAGGCAAGTCCATAAGTGGACAGAAAAACATAACTGTAAAAGGGGTGGGGAAGGGGGCGGGGGGCTTTTGTGGTGCTGGCTAAAAAAGGTTGCGGTCGAAACATCCGATTGTTTCTGTGCGTGTTTTGCCAATCTCCCCTTGAACTTGCTAATAATTAAGCAAAAGACCAATTTTCATGCATTTAGACGTTAGTTCTGAAAAAAAAAAAAAAAAAATTCAGGTTCGATGGGCTAGCGTCTAGCCGCTTCACTTTCATTTCTTGTCATGGTTAAATTAATTTTTTTAATACTAGCTTCACTGCAGTCACTTTTTTATTCATCGCACGCACACACACACACACACACACACACACCACACTTACACTCAGAGACGCGCATATCATACGCTTGCACAAACACACACGAACATACACATTTACCACACTCCCACACATGGACGCATATATTATACGCACGCACACAGACACACACACACGCACATATACGAGAGTGTGCGTACCAAATAATATATTTGGGTAAGCATCCTCTAAAAGACTTTGTAGAACCAACAATGAGAATTATTTGAGATTTTTGTAATTTTACTGGCACATTTATGATCAATAGTTTACCATTGCCTTTAAACTATCGGCTGTCGCTACAGTTTGCTGTCAAATCGTCTGCAGCTAGGATGGAACCTGGTACCTCGACATTACAAAGCGCGTTCGACACACCTAAGCCACGACGCCGACACCACACAAAACCAATGAAAAACAACTGGGGAAAAAATAGGAACACATTTAGAATAATATCTGCCGCAGAATTCGCCTGTCCTTGTGACGTGTCAGGATTCTGTGTATTTTCTGTTCCATTATCCACGAAAGCCTGGCCATGTAATTGATTTATATATGTAGGGATCTATAACGTGTTCGCTTTATTTGCTTTTATGACCACTTGATGCCAGAGCTATGTTTTCTGTTTCCTCCTACAATTTTTCTGCTTTCTAGTCAATAAGCAGACATGTTTATGAATATGACTCTTGTTAGGTTAATGTTAACGTTGATATTTATAAAATGTGTCTTTTTAACAGCACTCGCTGTTGCAAAGTTTGATAGCGTGGTCGTCAGGTTAAAATAACTGTCATGTTAGTCTAGGACGTTGATGGGCAAATCGGCATGCAGGTCTTTAGCGACCTGAGTGTGGCTCGGCCAGTCGGCCCCAAATCGGTTTTGGCTCCGAAAAACGTGGTTCTTGTCTGGTTTTTGAAAAGAAATTTGGCTTTAAAAATCATTTTCATCGTTGTGCTGATGATTTTAGGCCCTTTCGACTCAAGAGTTTTTTGACCACTGGTCTAGGAAATACACTACGGTGTCAAAGGTTGCCTGAAAATTATATCCTTGTGATCTAGGTAATGGCTTTTCTACGTTTTTCTTTATTCTGTTTCTCTCCTCCTTTTCATCTGCCTCTGACTAATCCTTCTCCTCTTCCTCTCCACATAGATTTGAAATCATTGAAACACTGTTAGATCATTAGAGGAAGAAGCAAAAATCAGAGGGGCCGTTTCAGTCATCTTGCTGCAAGATGGGACCACGGTGGAAAAGGCGTGTGCCTCCGGTAAACTCTCAACAAACTACACGGCAGAACAACAAACAATTATAGCTGTAACAAAACTTCTAGAGGAAAGAAAAACAAGACTGCAAAATGGCTTTTCTGTGTGGCTGTATGTAAGTCCTCGAGGCGACTAAAAGAGATCCACGAGGCAGCAAGCACAGAGAAACGACCTGCAAGTTAAATAAACTCTAAAAAAAAAAAAACAATTATATCTAACGCCAGTGGATCCCCGCCCCCTTTGGCATACCATGAGTTGACTGATAGACTTGCAAATAATGAGGGAAAAAAACACAAGAAAAAAAACACACACACACACACACAAACAGACCCACCGAATGTCATTAACAGAAATAAAATCACTTATCAAGGGAAATTTCAGTGAATTGTGGAGAAAACGAAAATACTTAGAAAAATGCAAAGCATATCACGGAGGGGTAGAAAAACAAACGAAGTGGTTCTCATCCAGACAGACGAATGTCGTAAACTGATTAGAACAAATAGACGTAGACAGTAAATATTTTTGGACCCATTTTGGGATGGAATGGAATGGAGAACTTGGGATCAGCTAGCAAGATTTGATGGAAAGAGAGCAAGAGGAAGACAAAGAGATAAATACTGGATGGTCTGGCCTCATGGATGGTGTGAGAAAAAAACATGGAACTGGTCTGTAATTCTGATGATCTTGTGAGATGGCGAAACAAGACAGTCTGCTTACCGGCACGGCACGTGCTGATGATGCTGTGCAAGTACATGTTACATAGGGCACATAGCCTATTTCTCCATTCCGTTATATCCTGAACAATCACTTTGAAATCATGAATGGAATCCAATTCAGCACTTTCTTAGAATGTTTCGTATACAGGGCCATCTTCTAGGTCAAATTACTGATGATACAAGAGGTTGCCACGGAGTTGCACTGTCTGATCATAATTTTCTAGGTCGTCCGGGTGTGTGACGAGCTGGTCTGGACAGCTGTTTCTGTCCTTTTAAAGATTGCTTTGTTTAGATAATATTATTACTAAAGTTCTAAACATTTTCCTTTTGCTTTTAATTAGCATAATAACACTGGATTAATTAAGAAATTTCCTTACCTTTTTCTTAATGCTTTATTGTAGCAAAATTATAATTAAAGAGTTGAAAGGTAATATAGGCGAAGAGTAGGGCAAGGGGGACTGAAGAGTTACTTCATCCTGACTTCCTGTTCCCTTTTCAATTCAGAAATTGACCGGTTCAGACCTAAAGTTGTTAGTCTGCCTGTGGTCCAATTTTCTGTTTGAATTCCCTGCCAGGGGTGAGTTAAAAGAATAAGTTTAATTTGATGTATTGCTGCTTATTCCTCTGAATTAATTCCACAGGTTAAATTCTGAAATTTAATGCCCACATGGCTCAAAAACTATGATAAATTTCTTTATCCTCACTAACCACATTTATGATCTAGTATGTACATGTATGCAAACATATTATCGATTTGATGATTGAATTAATGTTTATTTGCTACTAGAAACGTGCATTGGTATTTTTAATAATTATACTTATATTAATTAAGTGATAATTATGTCCTCATGTGAAATCTCAGCCAGTTCCTGTTTCCAGCTTAGACAATTAAAAATAGGAATGAAGTGTATATTCATTATACCTAATCCCTTCTAAGTTGATTTTACCTCATGGTGATATTAGCTTAATAAATCACTGTCTTGCTTTAAATTAGATTTAGTCCAGATAATTCTGAGAATGGTTTAAGAGCTTGAAAAGTGAATAACACAGTGAGGCTGAATTTAATATTCACACTGTCAGAGAAGAAGAAGCAGAAAAGAGATGTATGGCCCCTGCTTGTAATTATTATTGTTGTAGATATATTTCCCTATTACTAGGAATACATTTCAGTTTTACAGCAGCTGGCCTTACAAATGTAATAATTATATTTCACCCCTCACCACTTCTAAACTCTGCTGAATAAGATTAGCACATGTGTGGATTTAGATTTAAACTGGAGTGAGTGTTGTATATTTTATGTTAATACTGTGACAGATGGAAAGCCCATTGTCATCTATGATTGTATTTTGACATCTATCTCTTCACCCAGTATATTGATAGAGATATGTCAATCCCATTTGTTTTCAAACAGTGCAAAGCACCTGTTATGAGTTCCTGGTCTTGGTAAACTCAATCCCTGTTTCTCATTCTTTGTGATGTGAACCCATGTGGTTAAAATGAGAATATTGTGAAATATGACTGTGTATGTCTGTGTGTGTAAGCATGTTAACCCTTCAAAGGAGTACTAGTGTGCAGACATCAGAACAATTTACACTGAGGAATGTCTTTTCTTTTTGTGTGCTGTAAACTCTTGTTCTTGAGAGTATTCATGAAACTGGTTTCCTAAATATTTCCCCATCAGGATTATGGACCATGTTCTGTACACATTCCCATTCTATACCAGTAGAATGTGAACACCTGTTACTATCCTACTCCATATATATGTGTGTAGTGTAACAGTTTAAAGACTGGAGGTATTGTTGTCTCCAGTTAGAACCTTCCTGACTGTTTGTATAAGGACTGTTCTATTGTTCTAGTTCCAGATTGTATTCCAGATGGTAGTCCAGAAGTAGATCCTAAGCTTAGCTGCAGATACCCGATTGTCCGGACTGGACTGGAAGATTCGGCCTGCCTGATGTGTTTCCGAAGCTTAGTCAGAAGCTGACAACATAAACCTAAGCTACAGCTAAGTGGACAGTTGACCACTTACCTTATATAACAGGATAATTTTATCCACAGCCTTTTATTTAATTATCATTTGAATTTTC